GAAATAACGTGGAAAATGAATGCGGGTCATTTTTGACCCATGTTGCGCATTAGAAGGGGTGTGCACATGTAGTGGATCAAAGGGTTAAGCTTGGTTTGCTTGCAAAATGTCTGCAATAAAGTAAGACTGCAAGACTTAAAAAACATGTTTCAGAAACAAAACAAAAAGAGATGTTAAGTCATATTTCACCATCACCTCCCTGCACATGTGTGTGTGATACAGTAAAAATGTATCCTTGTGTCAAATATTGCCACAGTTCATGTATTCTAGCATAATGCATGCAAGCTCTCTGGACAAATCAGAGAGAATTATTGAATGGACTAGTTAAAGTAGTATGAACATGATACTAACAGGAAATAAAGTACATTCTGTCAGCACCACAAAGCTACGAATATCTACCCCATCGCCAATGCACCCACACCCACTCATCTTAACAGATTAAGTGTCTATTTGCATCATCACCAAAGGAGACAGAGCATGGACACAAAAAGCCAATAATGTCCTCAAGCTACCAAAAGAACATCTCTGTACAGTTATTTAAAAGCTTTTCAGTTTCTAGAGTACAGCTTGTGCCAGACATTTAAAGTCTTTGCTGCCAATTGTGCACCACCGCAAGAGTGAACCTGAAGAAAATGAAAGATGAGGGGCTGAGAGGATGAGGGGGAGGGGAGGAGACTATTTCAAATTGGACAAGCAATAACAGAAGCCACTTTGTTTGAAGTGGCGAAAAGGCTGAAAAAACAGGCCTTATTTGGAACCATAACAAATTACATTTAGCTAGAATGTGCTGAAATGAAACGAGGAGTTGATGGAGGGGTAGAGAGGAGCAGAGTAGTTGAAGGTGGGGTTGAGCTTTGGCACTTTAAAATGTGAAATTACATCCGTGTGGTTTTAATGATGCTGGCTCGTTTGGCTTCCATTCAGGGAGGATCATGTGGTATGAGCAAACAGGACAATTCACACATGCACAGGCTAATTTAAATGTACATGGGACAAGATGCACATGTGCAGAGGACAATTCAAATGTGCACAGGGCAAGATTCACATGTGCACAGAACAATTCACATGTGCACAAAAATATTTACATGTGCAAAGGACATTTGATTGATTGATTGATTAATGATGCCTTTATTGTCATTGTACAGAGCACAATGGAATTACATTAAAAAAAACCATTCAAGAAGACACACATATGACAAAAACATGGGGGAGCAGGTGATCAGGTCATGCAGCAACCAGCAGGGGTTGTGCTACCTTTAAAAAACAAACAAAKAAACAAACACAGAAGGTTAGATGAGGAAAAAAAATCGTATTATATCAACGGAATATGATACAGGTGCATGCATGATTTCATACATGCACAAAAAGATTCACACATACACATGAAGATGAAGATTCACATGTGCCCTGGATATTTCACGTGTGCAGAAAAAATATTTATACATGCACAAGGCAATTCACACATGCACAGGGCGATTCACACATGTCCAGGACATTTAACTTATAGAAGAAAATTCACACATACACATAAAAGATTCACATGTACTTCTGATGCACACACATAAATATCTTGATTTACAAAGTGCTAGTGCTCTGTGAACTTCACACTGCATTTGTGAGTGATTTCTGAGGCTCCCCTCACTTGGCGCAACTCACACTTGCCTTTTTATGCTGGTATAGGGAAGGATCTGCACTAATCTGATGCCATTCTTGTTTTAGCCAATCATAGGAACATGGGGCATGATTTATTTATAAGACAATCACAAAATCCGTTTCTCTTTATGGAACCAGGTTAATATGTGCTAATCACTAAAATAATTTGGTTCAAATTATATATGTGTACACACACACACACCCGTGCACTGTTGAATTGTCCTGCGAACGTGTGAACTGCCCTGTGTTCATTTGTGATTGAGACTTTTCTACCTACAGTTTCTAACTAGAATATTGTAATACATGACTGTGACAAATCTATCAAAGATCAATGCAGCAGTGATTGATTTGCATCGAGTGTGGATATACATTCAACAAAATGTTTTAGTGTGTAAGTTTTTGCCACTTGTCTTAAAATTATTATTTGCTACAGCCTACCTCAGTGTTTCTGCTATATGAAACACGTTAACTGTGTGGACAAAACAAACTTTACAGAGTATTTTTATTTACATTTTCATATACCTCAGTATTTTGTTTAAAATGAGCTAACCAAAGTGCAGCAGTATTAAGTAACTCTGAAGTGAATCAAGTATAGCGTTTAATGCATGTTATGCTGACCACTGGCTCTTAAATCATGCACTCCAGGGCTGTTTGCATGTCTTAGTATATGCTGCCAAATTTCTGACAGATTCTTATTTATACATAAATCGCACCCAGTAATCCCTTCAATTTTCAAGACAATTAGGCAATGGAGGGAGGATGGATGGCTTGGCAAACCGTGAATTTTAATTTACCAGCACAATAAGACCGAGAGGGGGAGGTGATGGTGTGTTGAGACTGGGAAGTGGCTGCATACGTGCATGAGAATCCACACTCCCCCCTTTATTTTTTCTACTTGGTTGCTTTTATTTGCTGCCTTCCCATGTGGACATGATGAGAACAATTCACTGCCCAAGGTTTGTAATTGAGGTAAAACTGGATCAGACACCCAGACTGCTGCTAACAGAAGACCATGTGTTGTAGGTGAGTCCACCACCAAAGAAAACCCATGGGCTTGAGACAGATTTTATTATTA